AAATGTCTTCAAAGAGATGAAAAAACAGATAAATATATATTCCATTTATTCCAACAAAATACGTGCAGGAAGCGTCAAGCATCCCCAGAGATCCTCTGAATTCAGATTTTACTCTGAATAAAGTGGTGTAAAAGAAGGTGCAAAAAATGTCTTTGTTTCATGGGATAAGGATCAAATCCAGACTTCAGAGAAAATAGAAGACTAAATAAAACCCAGTTAGTTTCACAGCCACTCTGCATCCAAATAAATACTCTTTCCCCTTTTAGGAATTTTGAAAGCAAAACTATTAGAACGTCCTTTGGTACATCAGATCACATACTGTGTGTAGTCATATGCTTTATATACTTACAGTCAAACTAAAACTGCAGATCCACACTTACAGTACTCAGTTTCTAAAATTAGACCTTTAGATCCTTAGCTATGCACAAGCCACCTCTTCAAATATATCAAGATTCCTCTGAAGTTAAAAAAATTGTGAATTTCTTACTACCCAAAATCAGGTTGCTTCTGTGAAACTAGGGAAATACTTTTAGGACCCTGAGCCTGAAACTTTTGGTCAGCATTTCATAAACTCTTCCAATATGAAAGAGCACAGAAGCATGCTTAATCTCTCAATATTTAAGAAATAATGTTAGTCATACATCATGGTAAGATATTAAAAAATAATTCATGCAGTTTATCCTTGAAATTACATAAAATAAATTACTTCAATTAGATAAATGGCAAACTATATGAAGTGTTATGCTTAAAATCACATAAAGTAAACAGTGAATCATCCCAGCACAGCTGGCTGTGCTCTACAAGTGCTGCAACTCAACCACCACATCAAAAGCTCCACATCCAACCAGACCCCTCATGCCTCACAATTACACTGAAATCCAGGCTACCTGGCTCCATGTAAATGCCTCCTATCTACTTTCATTTATTTAACATTTAAACTAGTGTTGCTGTACTACATGCACCCTAAATAATGCATGTGCTGATCAATCTATAGGGAGACTGAATCTGAGGCACGCAGCTTCGTATCCCCCCCACCAGCAATGCCTTGCCAGAGACACTTAAGATTTCTAACACTGGTACCTTTTGCTATAAAAATGATTAAACTGCAGTAGAGCTGAAATTGGAACTGAAATATAAGGCTGGATCACTTGCATAATAAACTTTGATTTAGTCATTAAAGAGATTATTGCTTCACTTCCCCATAGACAGTAAGGACAGGCACCACCCTCATATAGTTCTGTGGGGTGATGCCCTGTGGTTGCATTTTATTTTTACTTCTACAGTTTTATCATAAGTAAATCAAGTCACTCTGAGTGCTAAAAATGGAAATTCTTTCAGCGAAGCAGAAAAGAGATGTGAATAAAAGAGGCTTTGGGAAGAAGGCATTCTTTAACCTGGATTTCCCAGCCCTAGGTCTGCACCTTTCCCTCTGAAGTCTTTTCATCTCCAACTCTTCTCTCCAGTCCTGAAGGTCTTCTCTGCACTTGGGAGGTGTTGCTAGCGCTGTTGACAGATGACTTTCGTGCCAGGGCACCCTGGGGGTGTGCACAGAGTCTCTCTGTGCCCCTGCTGAGGCTCAGCTCACCCCAAGGACCATCCCAGAGTGGCTCAGTCTGCCACCCATCATCTGGGGTGGCAAAAGGACCAGCTCCTCTTTCAGAGACCACCATGCACAGAGTCAGACTCCTCAAAGCTGCCCAGCAGCCTGAATGGGCACAGCTTCCTCCCCTGGGCAATGCCTGAGTTGTTTCCAGGATGAGTGAGGGGTTTATGTCCTCCAGGAGTGGTGGCTGTCCTAATGGTGTCACCCTCTCTCTCTGAACAGTTCTGTCACACAGCTTTTCACACAGTTAGAAACAAATGGGCAGCTTACTTCCCAGTCTACAAATTCTCCCAGATGCCACTGGACAGGCACAAAGCATATCCACACTCAAACCTTCCCCCTTACATATGACCAAGATCTATGGCAAAGGGAAGAAATTGAAGAAATTCAACAGAAGAATTCAGAAGGGGGTAGGCATTAGCAACACCTCAAATATGCTTTCTGATTTAAGATAAACACAAAACAATACTTAATCTTCTTTTTCTTTTCTTAGTATTTTGGTCTTCCTATTATAAATCCTTCTTCAACTTGAGCCATGGGGTGTTATTTCAGCTTAAAGGGAAGAAGAAATTCCAGTTGATTTGTACTTCCAGGTTCTGCTTTTAGACTCCAGTTTATCTTGATCATTAGTTTATAAATCCCAGTTTAAAGCACATTTAGAAACTGCATTCCAATGAATCATTCTGAAAGGTTTTCTGGCATGCAGACTTAAAAACAGCTAGAAAAGAAAATGGTATCTTTATGTTTCTCTGGACCCACATACAGGACTCATTTCCCTCCCTAACACCCAACCTTGCAACTAAATCAGGAGCAGTTTTCTAGCCATAATTCCATTCTTTTAGTTGTATGTGGGTGACCATTTTCCTTGGTTTCAGTGAATTCCAAGGAGAAAAATACCAGTTGAAAATAGCTGGTTTTGTCAAAAATACAGAATTATACAGAAGGACCATAGAAAATGTCTTCTCAGAGCTTGTAACTTCAGCAATGAAGTTTTTATTGATTCTACCAGAAAATTTTCCAGATTCATAAACTTGTACTGATCATGAGCAGGACCTACACAGACACAAAGCCCACACAGATACCAACACTTTCCAAAGATGTCCATACTTTGCAGCACTTTTGAAACCAAATGTGGTACAGAAGAACTAGAGGATGGTCTAAATCAGCTGTGTCAACCCATCATGCAGCTCACTTCAGCACAGGGAATACAGTGAGAGCATATACAATGTGAGTCATCCAAAATCATTCCAGCTGCACACATCCAGCTTCACCCTTCCCCTCTGAGCAACAGAGCTGGAAGTTGGTATCCAGATCTCTGGCTGTCTGGAATCTCAGAAAAAATAAGAATATAAGAAACCTCTGTTGTCATTTTGGGATGGGCTTCCCAGTGGGCTGCAGTGGAGAAGTCTGCATGCTGACCTCTCACCAAGCAACACCCTGAATTCCATGTGCACTCCAACAAAAACAACTCACACCACTGAGATATGAGCAAAAGCTGATTCTTAATGGTTAATGGGAAGGGGAGGTGCACACATTCTGTTTTGGAGGTCAGAAACACTCAGACTACATGACAACAACTGTGTTCTGACAGATCCTGAACTTGCAGCTCTCCTGAGAAAGCAGGCATCCTCTCCAAGTCACACAGCACTCACAGGAATATCACACATGAAGCAAACCACTGGACAGCAGGGATGCTGAGGTTTTTGCTGATTCAGAGCTCCAAGCAAACAAGACAAATTGCTTCCTAGCCTCCTTGAAACAGGTATCTCCCTCATGTTTTGTTTCAGCTGCAAAAAAACACTTCTCAGAACAGCAAAAGCCCATATTAAGATATTTTCTGCAGTCAGGCTCATAGGTTATTTTCTACCCATGATAAAAATTCAGCTCTTTGCCTCTGCCTGAGAGTAGGTAAGACACCAAAGCAATCCAGCCCTCATTTACCAGATTTAATTGAAAATGGGAGAAAGAGGAAAAAAAGTTAACAGCATTTCTTAAATCCCAGGAACTTGACAGTGACATATATTCCTAAGTCACATACCTCTGAGAAGAGGTCATGCTGCCCAGAGTAAATAACAGCTTGTAATTTGCAACGAGGATACCCAGCAGCAGCACTGTGAGATACATGTGATAATGTGATTTACAGGACCAGGAAATCATTTTCAGATATATGTGCTGCATTAACAATCCAGGTTAAGCGTGCGCTGCAACTTTTCCCTTGAAGGTGCAGTAGGTGGAAGATTAAATGCAACAAAAGGAAATGTCGAGGGGGGAGGGAGGAGTCTCCTGCTGAGATGTTGTGATAAATTATTAAAACTTCTTTTTAATGTTGATGCTACTCTTTAACCTCAGATCACAATACTGACAGCAGAGAAAAAACTGGAAGTGCTATTAAAGCTGTGATAAACACACCATGCTGTGGCAACACTTGTAAGGGGAGAAAAAAAAAAAAAAGTAAAAAAAATCCTGGGGGTGCCTCCAATCAGCAATACCAAGAAACAACCAGGGAGAAAATATCAAAGTATCTACAATCCACAGTCCCTCAGTCCAAATATTTATGAGATACCATTTATGCTCAGTGAGCTATATTAGATTATGAGACCTCAATAACCTGTGCTTTCCATAAACAAATGTCATGCAAGGAAGCAAAACAAAGTGAACTTTATGAAAAGGCACATTTAGTGAACTGCTCACAGCACACACAGGGTAAATCTTCCCAGCAGTTTTCAACAGAAGAGGAAAATGGATTGCTGCCTTCAAAAATCATAAGTGTTTTCTCAACATAGCATTTTTTTTTCGATAAAGTTAATGCAATTTGTCTTTATTAACACATCAACACTGACATAGCCAGTCAGCCAATTAGTGCTGCTGGCACTGCATTTCACAACATCCATGTATTCTAAAAAAAAAAATGTCTGTCTAGTCATTTTTACCACATATACTAACAATTCTGCACTCAAAATAGGCTTCTTGCTTGCTTTCTCTCTTCTTCTCCAACACTGTAGCCCCCTAAGACAGGGGCAACATCACTTCCAATAAAGCCACAAGAGTCCCAGAGGCTCCATAATGAAAAGAACAATCTGAATTTTCACAATCCAAAAAATTTTTAAATGGCATGCATTTACTTGTATCAAGGCCCCAAACATTATTCTGCTAATGGTACAATGCAAAGCAAAATTCCTGCAAGGAATACATACCTTACACAGAGCCAGCCAAGCAAACTAACAAGAAAACAAATTAAACTCCATGCTCTCTTTTTAGCATCCTACTGCAAGCCCACACAGCAACCTGAAATCTGAGTCACTTAAAATAGCACAGGTATTCTCCTTAGATTACTTTTAATACAGCTTTTCAGTACCTTACCCAAACATCCATCACAAAACTTTTCCTTTCCACTTACCCCCCTTCCAGTGTTTGCCTTTGGTCCTGCTAAGCTTGCTCAGGGTTGGTCCAGAGAAGAGCAACATCAAAATGAAAAGAAGTTCAAGCATAGTGATTTTCCCCTTTTTCAATGACAAGAACATTTCCACAAGTTATTTTAAAAAAATATAAAAAAAAAAAAAAAATTAAAAAAATCTCACATCTTCTCCCCCACTATGTATTTACTTAGGGAAGAGTGATTAATCATTGAAAAATTAGAGCAAGGAGCAGCTCTGCTCCTCTCAGACGTTGAAGTAATTTTTCAATGATGTAGCCCTGAGGAAAGCCACATTTCTCACTGATCCGATTTCTCCCACACAACATGCAGCCAGCACCGCTGCTACTACAGCAGCTATAAAATAATTTCTGCTCCTCACTTGGGTTTCTGTGGGAATATATTCCTCAGCTTGCAGCGTGAGCTTGATTGAAAATGATAAATACAGTAATGCTTGTGTCCAGCAGAAAAGAGAAAAGATGTCAGGATTGTGAAAAAAGATGAGAAGCAGTTGTACTGACAGCTTTAAGCCTGACTGTCTGATCCTAATAGCTGTGCAACCAACCAAATTGCTCTTTTAAGAGTAATAAGGCTTCAGTGAAAGCTGGTGTCACTGCCACTTGGGTAGGTAGTGCAGGGCTTGAAAATCACCAAGGAACCTGCTGGAGATAACGACTGCCACGGTCCCAGCTCGGAGCGCAGAGGGCTGAGCAGAATACACTATGCACAGGGAGCATTTAATCTCTATTGTGTGCTGGAGATTTCCTGCTCTGCACTGTGCCACTGCTCAGGACTTTGCACTGCCTTTTCTTAAGGCTTTACTTCACATTTCCAACTAAAATGCAAGCTCCAACACGCTAACTGCTTGCAGCATTGCTGAATTATTGCATGGGAACAGCCCTGCGTGATTTTTCGTGATTTTTTTTTTTTTTTTTTAAGTAGCAAACAGGAAGAACAAATCTTTAGGAGTAGCTGCAAGCTTTTCACTGCACAGAGCAGCTATGCATTTTATATTTTCACACTGCCTACCCTTAGGATCTCCAAAATCCAGGGGGCGGGAGCACAGGGTAGAGAGGGAAGGAAAGAGAAAGGGGACATTCAGCAGTGCACATATTCTCAAAAGAATAGATTGCAGTCAATTTTCCCTTTAATAGGTGTTGCTGCCACAGAAATAACAGAGCTACTACCTACATCTCCAAATGTTTGTATTTAAGATACAAACTGACTCTGCTGATACTGGATCAGCAAACACAAGACTTTCTGTGCAAAATTTTGGATTTTCATGAAAGGTACTCTGAGCAAGATCCCTGACATTCAGACTGCTCAAACAGTCTTGAGATGCCCCGTGCTTGCTTAAGTGTGCCCAAAAGCTTGAATTCATCTAGAGCCTGGCATTTTGTTGTTTCTATATAAGCATGCAGTACTCAAACCAATGAGCCACAAAGCTTGTGCTGTATATTAATATAAATAAAAAAATCAATGTCTTTAGAATGACAAAGCAACGATGGTCACAAATTCCCTGAAGTTATCACATTTTCAACCACAGACATGATGCCCTTTTCAGTGCAACATTAAAAAGATGATATTAATGAATCTAAAGCCTTGCTTATTCATCTGAATAAAGAATGATATTTTGGCTGGTGGAGACAGTCATGAACATCTGATATATGTTCAGAGATTTTTTTTTTTAAATAAACAGCATGTAATATCACAAACAAGGAAACACTGGGATTTCACCATGACCATATCAATGTTGAAAGATCTTTTATTTTTAAGTTCTACAATATATTTATGGGCTTGTGAGAGAATGTAACATTTGCATTTAGACAGAAAACAAACACATGCTGATGTACAGTTCTTTATCCTTCTGTGCATTAATTTTTAAAAGTTATAAGACAGCCTACCAGATGCTGAGTCTGATACATCAAGGATGATGTTTATGGCTCTTAGTTGCCAAAAAATTAGGTCAGTATCTGTCACGTAGACTCACTAAGCTGTGGCTTCTGTTAAATATCTCCATCAAGCCATTCTTAATCACCAGTCTCATTGCTAATAATTAAAACACCATTTCTTGTATTTCTGTCCCAACTGTTACTGAAATGAGGCAGGCAGACATGTTTGTTTGGATTGCTAGCACCATGTGATGTGTTGCAGAACTAAAAAAAAAAATTAGAAGTTCACAGAGGTTTCACAATTTTTGCATCCGGACAAGGAAACCTTAAACTAAACAACCCACAGCCCCACCTTCCTCAGGTACCATAAAGTAAATTCACTAACTTAAAAGTTTTGGACCAGAAAGCAAACACTTCCAGTGTCCAAAACGTGTGACAGTATCAGTGACACCTCAGAACTTTTTACAGATCATTGTCTTGGCCCTCTCTGCAGCCTTTTGTCACTTTTACCTCCCACGTATTTTCTTCAGTCTCTGTCTTGCCTTCAAATCTTATCATCTCCTGAAAGTCTGTCACACTATCCTGTTTCTACCCCTACCCATTGCTAAGTCAGGTACTATGGGGAAAACTGCTCCCAATGGTGGCAGGCATCCTTAAAAATACCCTCTTGATCCCTATACTGCAAAAGAACTCAACCCAGCCTGGTTGCCTTCTGTTCTCAGCATTATTGAAACCAGTGGCTTTTGGAAGGTTTGATGAGTTGCTGTCAGCTTTCTGCCAGCTCTGACATGAGCCTCCAGCAGCTCAGCAGGATCAGGTACTGCCTGAGGAGCAGCTCAGGGGATGCAGCAGGAGAAGGGCAGGACCACCAAGGAGCTTGAGGAAAACCACCACTGCTGCTGGTCATGGCCATGCATGGCTCAGTCTAATGCCTGACGTGCCCAGACTTCCACTCTGCTGATGGTTTTCTGAGTTATTTTACAAAAGGTAAGTTTTTTAATCCACTTAGCATTATATTAGGAGTGAGCAGGCAAACCTTCAAGGAAACACAGAAAAAGTCTTGTCCCTTCTTGTGAAACTTAGTGGGGTTTTGTAATGCTCTCATTTCCAGGTTCATAAGCATTTCAGTTTTCCAGAGTCTAAATGCCTCCAGAGGAAAGGTATGGCTTTAAGAAAGATCATACAAACTTCGAGGGATGTAACATCAGAAAGACAAAGAAGATAAACCCAACATCTATTTTTCTTTCAAGTATCATAACTTTTAAGTCAATATCGTGTTTTAGAGATGTAAAATGACTGATTTGGAATTCTATTTCATGCTTTGAGTGTGCAGTAGTGGAAACAGAAAGACAAGTAACCAGTCTATGTCTATTAAAATGCAACCATCTATTATTATTACAGCAAAAAATCTTCCAAGAGCTACACGAGGCAAAACAATCCCATAAATGTCCCTGATGACTGTCTAGTTGCTTTTTTGTTCATTTATGCCTTTCTCCACACCCCTAGGTCCTAGCAATGAGTCCAACATGTTTAATTACTTCCTCTTATTTCTTTGAAAAGTATATTTGACAAATTTATTGAGATCATGTAGTGTTTTCATCATTAAAAAAAATCCTCTTCACCTTTCCTCATACTATGGTTTTCAAAATACCCTTCATACGACTTACTCCAGGAAAAAAAAGTAATTTCTCAGACCAAAGATTCCTACACTCACAACTGTCCTTGCTGCCTTCACCTTAAGTATACCCAGTTCTAATTTAGTGTTTATGAGATGAAGTCAAGAGAAAAGCCTGCAGCATTCAGGATGAATTAGCAGTTGTACATTCTCTCCCTCATTCTGCTCATGAAGCCAAAGGGCAACATCTACAATTAAGCTGAAGTTATGCTTATAAATGTCTACAACATTAATGAATACAGAGGTTCTTTTTAATTAACAGAATTGTAGGATGTTTACTCAGAGGCAGTGTACACCAACAACCTAAATAACAAACCACTAGTGAGACACTCAGGAAAAAATATGTCCAAGTTAGTTTAATCTGTAGTTGGCATAACCAGCTATCTGGTCACCCTTCCTTTCCATATTTTCCCTCCTTTTACTAATCTGTATCAGGCACAAAAGGCTGCTGGTATGAGCACTTGGTCAAAACCCTCAGGCTTGAATAAATAGCAACAACAATTTCACAGAAGCTTGAATATCAGAGCCCTGAGCAACATGGTCTTGTAAAGGTTATATTTTGGAGAGCTCTGCTGCTTTCAGGCTGTAGGAGGCACAGGCAGAAGCCTTGGCTGCCTGCTTCCTGACAGGTTCTTGGGCCCTTGTATTTGGCATCCAGATTCCATTTCACTACAGGGAAGGTTATGGACTTCCTCAAGATCCTTCAGTAACTGCACGAAATAACATTTCCATCCAACCCAGCATTCAGACATTTCTCATTGTATATCCTGGCACTTCTTAATTATAGATTTGTCTTAACACTCCAAGAAGTTCAGAAAGATTTACAGCCTTAATTCTTCCAATTTCAGAACACTGGACTATCAAAATAAAAAAAAATTCAGAGATTTCAGAAATAGAAATGACTATTTAGATAGTCACGACTAAGATGAGAAGGAATGGAGACAAAAGTTGAAATGTCCATCCCTCCCCCTTAATAAGTTACCAATATTTTATTTTTTTCCTACCTCTCTCCTTCTCCATCCTCCCAAAGATCCCAAACAGCCAGCATCTGGCAGCATGAAAATGTCCATGACTAAATGAACTTTGAAAAAAGGAATATAATCAACACCAAACACAACAAGATGGAAATATCACATCCTTCATTGAAGGCATTAAGAATATTTTTCTGCTGTCTCCCTCACCGTAAACAGAGGTCTAAGTTGCTGTGGGCCATAATTAATTCAGTTCTTTGTAAGCATGAAAATTGTTTTGATTTTAAATACTTTCAGCTTAGGGCATTCTAAATATCTGTGGAAAGCTCCTTCGGATTTCTGTTAGCCACGGACACCGATGGAAGAAACATTTTAGGGTACTTGTAACATAATACCATGCCAAATAAATGCAGAGCCTTCTTAAATCAAAAACATATTTGAAATTCCTTCCAATTCATGTGATTTCCAGGAATTAAGACACCAGTGCCTGCCTAGAGCACAGTCTGCACTACCACTGCAGGTATTGTGAAAAGAACCATTTCTACTCCCCCTTCCAAATGGAAGGAATAGA